TGAATCAGAAGATACTAGAAGTAATAGAATTGGTTGAGCTCCACCAGGGAGAAAAAGACAGAGCCTTCAGGTGCTCTAAAATGTAAGGGTCATGTACAGTAGAAAAAGTTAGCAAAGGAAGCAGATATTGCCAGTGAGGAGGAAAAACATCAAGACAATGTGGTAGCCCAGATAGTAAAGGGAGAAAGAACTTAGAGGAGGGAGAGAGTAGTGGTCAAGATGTCAAATGCGCAGAGTGGTCAATCAAGATAAAACAGAGAAGTCTTTTTAATGATGAGAAGTCATTGCTGAACTTGACCTGGATAATTTTGTGGAGCATTTGGTGCAGAAGCAAGATTGGAGTAGGTTGAAAATAAGTAGGGTATTAGCAAATGAGACAGTAGCTCTTTCAAGGAGATTAATTAAGGAGGAAGAGAGAGATTGAGCAATAACTATAGGTTGATTTGGGGGTAGAAAGAGGTTTTTAGTTCAGAGCAAGATGGCCTTAGATGGAAGGTAGGATGATTTTTGTTGGGAAAGGCAATTATGCACAGCTTCTCACCCCTTACATGGCCATAAGCGTGGCCTTGGCCTTAGAACATTTCCCTGCAAAGAGATTAATAGCTCTCTGAGCCTGGGCTGGGCTTATCACCTTGTGAGGGAGAATGTTTCCCTGTTCCGAGCTTAATGTATACTCCTTTGTTTTGCTTAAGCTTCAATGGCCCTCCAGCATGCCCCCAGCGTTCTGTGTTTCAGACCCTATGGGGGAGGACACCTTTCACTGCAGCATGAAGCGGGGTCTGTGCAGTCACTCCCCCTTTTGGGCTGCCAATTGGATGCGCTGGCTACCAGGGACCAACGTGTTGCAAGGGACTGGATCTTGCGCACTCTCTCTCTCCTCCCACTGTAAGTCAATGCTGTACCACTTGAGCCTGGTGTGCATGTTGTCTGTTCTCAGTGACCTTGAATCACAGACTGATCTCTTCTTTAGGTGGCACTTATCTGCCTTTTAAACTTCATTGCTCAGCCTGGACACCCAGTGAACACTGAAACACTTTTTCTTTTGTAAATGGGTGTGGAATTAGGAGGAAAATATTGATTCAGATATAGGAGGGTTTATCTGTTGATTTTTCTAGAGAAGTAGGAAGTCCTATGCTGAGAGAGAAGGAAGAAGTGGAAGGATTGGGGTTTGATGAGAAGGAAGAATATTTAAATACTCGTTATAGAGACTAGAGAAACATTGTAGCATTGCTGGTCAGTGTTACAGGCCCATTTGAAGCTGGGAACTATAGGTGGAGATCAATCTACACTGTTAATGAAGTTTGTTTTTATCAACATTTAGCACTGAGGCTGCAGACAAAAGAATGATAGAGAAATCCATTCAGGACTTGAGTTTTTGCATGTGGATGCAATGAGAGACCTGTACAGCAAGAGAGTTTAGAACATTAGAAAGAACAGAGTTGAGATTGTACCTGAGAAGCGTAAAGGGGGAAGCATTGAAATGAAGCAGGTGATCGATGAAGAGAAAGTAGAAAGTTCTATGGACTGGAGGTGCCCTGGAAGTTGAAGAACCCATGTGCTAAGAGTCATGTTAGTGTGCTGGAAAAATGAGAGATTGTGGGCAGAGAATGAGATGTCTGAATTAGTGATATCAGAGATAGAGTGCTTCCAGGTGATGACAAGGTTCAGAGAGTGTCTGTAGAGTGGTGGTTGAAGTGATGGAAGAGACGAAGTCAAGAATATGACAAGTCAGGGAACATGAGAAATCGTTTGTCCACATGGATAGTAAAGTCATCCAGGATGATAGCAGGACTTGGCATGGAAGGAATACTTTGAGCTGGATGCCATTGTCAATGAAGGAGGTTGGTATATGACAGAGGCAGGAAAGGTGGAGGTACAGTATGCATGGAGATAGAATACATACCAGATTGTGTGAGTCTCAAGGGAGTGGGAGCTGTTGTAAGAAGGTGTAGGAGTAATGGTGTGGATGTCGTTTTGGGAGAAGGAAGATACAACCTCATTTTCCAATTGTGAGGTAAGTGGGATGTAGGAAGATTATCAGTTTTTACTTGAGAGAGCTACACAGAAACTCATTCTTCAGTGGGTAGCCAGGTTTCAGTAAAGCCAGAGTTTGGTAAAGCCAGGAAGTATGGAGCAGAGTTTAAAGATCTAAGGGAGTTAATGATGACCCAGTCATCCCAGAGTCTCGGGAAAGGGGAAGATGGGTTGTCTGAAGAAGTCATATAGAGTGTTTCAGTGATGAGAGTGTTGGAGAGAGTAAATAACCAAAATATTTTAATTTTGGATAGGAATCAAGGAAAACAGTGATGTGTGTCTTGGTGGTTAGTACTTAGATATCCCCTGAAGCAGTGCTTCTCAGAGCATGGTCCATAGGCCACTTGCATCAGAATCACTTAGGGGCTGATTGAAAATCCAGATTCCTGGGCTCTGCCACTTACCAACTAAATTAGAATATGACAGGATTAGCGGGGTGAGAAGGGTTGGGGGAGTTGGTGGTGTGACGAGAAGATGCTAGGGAATCTATATTTTCTAAGCTTCCTTTTACAAGTGCTGTAAGAATGCCAAGACTCTGGAGAATAGTGGGCACATAATTCAAGAGAGGATGCTTGGACCACTGGGTGGTGGAGTGGAGTAGGGTAGTCACCAGTGGTGAGCCAGAGAGTACAATGAGTCAGTCCTGATATTAAATGACCATGGATTGGACAAAACTGGGGTTTTTAGTTATACTGGACTGAACATTTAATAGCTGAAAATGGTACTATCCTTAAAGCCAAAATGCCCAAAAAGCTTTGGGATCTGCCCCAGATATTATCATGAGGCAGAGGAGGGGTATCACACAGAATCTGTTTGAAGGCAGTAGAGGAGAAAAGCAAATCTGCTTCCTAAATGTAATCTCATCAGGTTTAGCTCCTTCAATAAACTTGCTATAATTTCGTTCCTTCAAGGTCTCTCCCCTCCCCAATTAAGGTTTGACCAGTGGTTCTGTGGCCACTTGAAAGATTTCATCTGATTTATGACCTTTCCAGAAAATCAAATCCTAACCTTTTACATTCTATCCAGTTTCTAGAATTGATAGACTGATGTCAATCCAGTTGACTTGTGCTGGCTCTTGCCTGGTGGAAGGTGATTTTTGTGACTTCTGGCAACCTCCCATTACTGAACTTAGGGCACCAGCAATGAATATTTTGGTTGGAGCTCTAGAGGAGTTTGCTCTTTTTGCACCAATATCTCAGCTATTAATGGACCAGTAAGAGAGACATCTCTCTGTGGTTGTGTGTGGAAACCTATCCTTTATAATGCCCCAGGATATTTGTAAGACCAAAGCTTGGTGAGGGGGGAGGGACTCCTAGTCAGTGGTGGCTAGGAAAAAAATCCAGCTGTACTTGGGGTGCTAAGGCAGAGTTTACTGGACCGGAACACATATAGGTCACTATTATGTAACTGCTATGTAGTTATAATATAACTATTATATGTGAGCTCATCTAGGACACTAAAAGTTTGTGTCTTCGTAGTACAGTTGTGTGCCACATTGACAATGTTTTGGTCAATAACAGACCACATATATGACAGTGGTCCCATAAGATTAGTACCATATATTCTGGCTGTGTAGTAGGCTATACCATCTAGTTTTGTGTAAGTACACTCTGTGATGTTCACACAACAACAAAATTGCCTAATCGTGCATTTCTCAGAACATACCCCTGTCGTTAAGAGACCCATGACTGTACTAACATTGCTTCCTGTGTATAGTATACTCTTAGACTATAGCAAGGAGTATTTCTCTAGTTTCTCTCTACATGGATATAGATTGTTAGAAGAATGGCACATGGTGATGGAGAACATTTCATTCACACAGCTGTGATCTCTTAACTGAGAAAATGGAAGAGACATTATTAAGGCAAATGTAGACCCAGGGAGCTGTAGAATTGAAGTAGTGGCTCTCAGGCAACTCTGCGTGAAGTATATCAGGCTACTGACCCTAATGAGGCTCCTAAGAACTCATCTTAGGGGTATGTAACTGACAACTATTTGTCACGATGTCCCCTTCTTCTGGAGCATATGGCCACCCAGCTTTGACTCTGTTTTTCAGCTTCCTTTGTGACTAAGTGTGGTCATGTGACCAAGTTCTTACCAATGGAAGGTGAACAAAAAGAGATGTGCTTAAAACAAAGTTGCTTACTCTGGACTGCCTTTTTTCCCATCACATGAGTTGGGTAATAGACATACCTGTGACTCAATTTCAACCATGTAGATGAGGACAACCCTGTCACACAAGGGTCCACAAACTGCACACCATGGGCCAAACTGGCCCTTGATCTGTTTTTGAACTATTTTTATGTTTTAAATGGTGGAAAAAACTGAGAAAGAAAGAGTACTATTTCATGACACATGAAAATTATATGAAATTAATTGCAGGAGGGTCCGCTAGACCACTCCCATTGAAAGGACACCCAGTAATCTCTTTTGCCCATTTCCAAGTTTTTCACAGATTTTCCTGACACTATGGAACTGTGACTCTTGTGTGTTTCCCAATCTTTCGTTTTTTGAATGGAAGTTTTATTTTTTTTGTGTTTCTGATCCTGCTCCACCATTTATGAGTATGTGGAGGGACAATAACTTTTCTTTTGGTTTGTAGGTCTCTGGACTGTACATCACTTGGATATTCTGGACTTTGAGCTGGAGGTCCAGCTGGGATCCTGGATTGTGTCCTTAGGGGAGATATTCTGTGTGGAACAAGGGCACTGACAGAATTTAGATGGCCAGAGAAATAGACAGTGACAAGCTTCTGACTTTTACCCTGTTCTTTTCTTTCCTTTATGATGGACACATGGCAGCCCATTACAAACTTTATTACCCAACTTTCTTTGCAGCTAGATGTGGCTTGGTGACTAAATTCTCACCAATGAAATGTGAATAAAGATGCATAAAACTTTGCTGTACTTTCTTAAAAGGAAATTGCTGGCCCTAGATTTCTTTCTTTTCTCTTTCCTCTGATTTAGGAGTGGAGGTGCCTGCGAACCAGTGTCAGCCCTACAGATGAAGACAATTCTTGGAGTGTGTCAGAAAAACAATATGGAAGAAGTCATGTCCCTGAAGGATCTATGGAGCAGAGCTACACCACCCGCCTAGACTGGCTGAACTATTACATGAGAGAAAGATGAATATCTATTGTCTTTTTTTCCTTCTTAAAGATGTTATTACTGAAGATTAAACTTCTCCTTAAATTATATAGGAGAGCTTAGAAAGGGATGAAAAGTTCTGATCCCTTCTATGCAACGATCTTGAAAACAATAGCTTTTCTCTTGGAGGAAGAAGGCTATACCTTGTCTAAATGAGCAAGTCTATTCACTGAATTTATTTAGTTCCTCACTGTGAGAAATCTCCTCTGACTTGCTCCAAAAGTGGCTTTCAACAGCAAGATACTATCATGGGAATCCTCATGAGGTGGTTCTACATAATGTTTTGCAGTTATTTATTATGGGGATATGTTGAAGGACTATAATTCCCTAATTCTGTTCTTTTTCTCTGACAAATCAAGGTGACTGTGTAATTTATTCCCACAACTTTCCAACATTCTTCCATTGAAAGATGAAAGAAGAAGGATGTGAAGGACGAGCATTTTAGAATCTAGGTGGAACTGACCCCATCTTGTTTGGCAGTGGATTAAGAGTCAAATAGCTGAGAGTTTAACTGGAGATGTTGGAACTTGCGTTCAGAGAACAATAAATCTCAGATACCATCCTGTGAAGCACCCTCTGTGTCAACTACTACAAAGTGTTAATAAATTGAGCATCAAATTTAAATTTACATTAGGATCCTCAAATTGTCTCTAGGAGACATCTTTGAGCAGTTACGGTGTCATCTTGGGGAAGTTCCAAGCCGATGACACACTTTTGAGAAAATTATGCCCCTGATAAATGAAGTGTCAAAGATAAAACTAAGTCCAAAACAAAACTAATAAAGGCTGTTTATTCATAAACTTATGTCAAGGGAACCCATCTGATTCCGCTTTTGTTTCAGCAAGAGTTCAAAGGTGTTAGAAAGGAGAGTAATTTTTGCACTGTAAAAAGAGGAAATTTTGAGAGAATGTTTGATTGGCAAGTCTTCTGAGGTAAGGTTTTGGAACTGGAGAAGACTTTCTAATTGTAATTGTAAATCTTTGGGTACATTTGGAAGTCTTGGCTGGCTGCAAGGGGACAAAGGAGCAATTTTAGGACATTTCAAAAGAGGAAAGACTGTTCAATGTTAGGGGCAGAGGGTTTTCTGGGGCCAGCCATTTGTGGAATGAGTGAGGATTGGTGGAGTGCCTTTTTCACTGTAAAAAGAAGCTGACTGCCATGGTAGACATTTCCTCAGAAGGAAATGATTGTTGAAAGCTAAGGCTCTTTTCTGGAAATTATTCTCCGGCATAATGAAATGTTGCCTTTGGACTCCAGTTAGCAAGTATAATGAAGATGTTTCTGGAATGGCAGGCATCAGAGTGTGAGAAACATCAGAGGTTGTTGGGATGTCAGGATGTCGAGCTTTTGTGGTCACTCCTGTTCTCAAAGTGCACAACCCTTAAGTAGAGATGACAAAATGCATATGTGTCTGTGATCAGGGTAAGTAGAGCTGGCGTAGTGCAGATCAACTTCTTGAGTCTGCAACAAGAAGATGGGTTAAAAGATTTGCACTGAGGCTAGAGATTTTGGTGCAGAGGTACTTGGCTAGGAGACTCTAGACTAAGGAAACATGTGTCAGTCATACTCAGACCAAGTAAGGGCCAGGAAATTCTTCATCTATACTTATCTATGATTTAAGGTAATTCTTGTTATTGAAGTTGGTCAGGCAAAGGAAAGAAGAGGAAGTAAAAGTCAGCCTTGTGGGCCAGTGATGCACTTTTTGAAGAAGGACTTGATTTTGGTGCTGGCCAAGGTCCCGGGAGCCGGAAGAGGAGCTCTCCAAACTCCTAAAGGTGTTAACAGAGACAAGTCACTGGAAAGCAGAGTGGGGATATTCTGTTGATAGCCCGAGCCAGTGATCAGGTGATGGAATGTTAGAACCCTATAAAGAGGGGAATTTACCTTTATTACCCTGCCATGATTCAGAGTATGTACTGTGGGACTTTGATAAGGAAGTGAATGTATGCCTAGCATCTTAAATGCCTGGGGCAGTGGAACAAATCTGGGAAACAACAAAGTGTCCCAGGACAAAAGCTCCCCCTGAGTCCCACTAGAATTGGCACAGGGAAGGCTGCCCACCAGCTTCTGTTCTCCTGGGACTACTTGGGCTCCAGTTGGAAAAGGTGACAGAGATAGAGGAGGTTTGGATTTCACTAGACCTAGAATTACAGACGGCTGCAGGTGACCACTGCCTCCAAATCATTCTGATTGAATCTGAGCCCCATCCCACCAGGGGATGGAAATGACATTGTGGATTGGGTACCAAAGCCTAACTTGAATGTATGAGTCTGAAAAGGTGCCGTCCTAAAGGAGCAATGGAGATTAGTGAGGAGGTCAACATTGCTGCTGTTGTGGGTGTATTAACCACAGCTTTTGTTGTCTGCATTCTGATATTTTGACATCTTGGAGCCTTGCTGACCCTGGAGGGACTTCCCCTCCCAGCATTAGCCAATTCCTAAAGATAGTAAACAACTAGTCCATGAGTGTGCCTTTCAAGTGCAAACCAGCCAGTCTAGAGCCCACACTCCTTTATTGGGACCACCTCCTTTATTGGGCTTTCAGACTCTGGGCAATAATCACCCCAGGGCCAGGTACCAGATAGCTAGGGACAGCCCCTATGCCCAGAGTCCATTGAAATTATTCAGGCTAGCTAATCTTCAGCCTGCTTACTCTGCTTTGCCTGTTCCTTCCCTCAGAAACCACAACAAAGGCTCTTGCCGTAGTTTTTTCTCCTCTCCCTCTGCCTCCTGACTGACCCTGGTGCTTCCCCATGTGGACCCATGTGCATGGCAAGCCCCCTTCTCTTGGAATCTGTGAGTATAACAAACTGTCTTTCCCTGGCAGTTGTCTCCTGATCTGTTGGCCTCACCATACATGAATAATAATAAAAGGTATATTTTAAAGCAGTGGACCCAAAGTAGGAAATAAGCAAGGAATTCTGAGGGGGCAAGATCTAAGTCGTTTAAAGTACTGTTGGCAGCAGGTGGTACCACTTACCTGGATGGCCAGCTTACTCACACCGTATATGCCAGTGCCTCCAGAAAGGTCAAGGCCTTCACCCTGTTCCTTGGAGTTGTACCTTCTGAACCCCATAAATTAACATCAGAGAGATTTTCTTTTGGAGACTGTCCAAATTCCAAAGAGTGGAAGGAGAGATTAAGAAGGAATATTATAACATTATATAAATTTCAGTTGTACATCATTGTATTTCAACTTCTGTATAGACTGCATCATGTTCACCACCAAAAGTCTGGTTTCCATCTGTCAACATATACATGTCCTCTTTTACTTCTTTCACCCTCTCCCAACCCCCTTCCCCTCTGGTAACCACCAATCTGTTCTCTGTATCTATGTGTCTGTTTGTTTATCTTCCACAGTGAGAGAAATCATATGGTATTTGTCTTTCTTCGTCTGACTTATTTCACTTAGCATAATGCCCTCAAGGTCCATCCATGTTGTCGCAAATGGCAGGCATCTTTCTTTAATGGCTGAGTAGTATTCCATTGTGTGTGTGTGTGTGTGTGTGTGTGTGTGTGTGTGTGTATGTATATATATATATATATACCCCATCTTCTTTGTCCACTCATCCATTGATTACTCTGCCATATTTAATCTTTTTCTGCTTGTATAGCAGCAGGAAGCAAATCAGCCAGTTTGCTGCACAAAAATGTATCCAGCCAGAGAATTTGATCTGAGTCTCCTCTTTTGGCAGGTTCCTCCAGTCTCTAAGAACGGCTCTTTCAGAGCCCTCACCCTCAATGTGAAGTAAAGCAACTTCCATGGGAAGAGAGGGTAAAAGCCAAGTTCTTGGCCAGATGCCCCAGTGAACTCCTAGAAATTTTAGTTTTGCCTTCATATAGTCTGGAGGTGGTGATGGGGTGGTGATGTCAGGACTGACTCCACCACTTTTTCATATTGCCCAGAAGGTGTGCCTGACAGCACCTTACTTCACTAAGAATACGGGATTATCTTAGTCAGTTCAAGCTGCCATAACAAGATACCACAGTCTGGGTGGCTGAAAAACAGAAATTTATTTTTCACATTTCTGGAGGCAAGAAGTCCGAGAACAGGATGCCAGCATGGTTGGTTTCTGGTGAGAGATCTCTTCCTGGCTTGTAGACAGCTGCGTTCTTGCTGTGTGCTCACCTAGCCTTTCCTAGGTGTATGCATGTGGATGAGAGAGAGCAAGTGCTCTCGTATCTCTTCTTATAAGGACACTTCTTCCATCATGAGGGCCCCACCCTCATGACCTCATTTGACCCTCAAACTTCCCAAAGGCTCTGTCTCCAAATACCGCTGCGTTGAGGGTTAGGGCTTCAACATAGGAATTTGGGAGGACACAGGCCATAGCAGTTTCCCTGGATTTGTCCCTAACCTCCCTTCCCACCTCAGCTTACACTCCCCTTCTTATGCAGCTAAGGGAACAACACTCAGTCTTGCTGTGTGTTAAGTGCTTTTGTTCACATTGTTTCCTGGGCAGGAAGTGCCTAAGTTTTTTCGTGGTGAAATTCTTCAGGAACCATTATCATCTCCTCCATGAAAGCTTTGAGACCCCTTCACCTATGTCTAGCTTCCATCTGCTTTTGCCCTTAAGCCATCATCTCATTTTCAATTCTTCTTCAAAAAGCCTTTTAGAGTCTATATTCCTTTCACTGTAGTTTCCTGCAGCCTAGCATCCTGTCTTACAACTCTATTGGAACTACTTTCATTACTGTTACCAGTGATCTCCTCGTTACTAAATTCAGTGTCTTCTTGATCTCTATCCTTTTCAATCTCTTGACAAAATTTGGTACTATTAACAATATTCCATTTCTTAACGCTCTCTCTCACCTTACCTTCTCTCTTACCTCTCTGTTCCTTCTCTTCTTTGCTGTCTCCTATTCTTCATTCACTCTTTAAACATTTGTATAGTCCAGAGTTCTTTTCTTGGAGCTTCTCTCTTCTCATTCTACTTTTTTCTCTCTGGATAATCACTTCTATATCCAAACTTTCAAATACTTATCTCCCATTAATAGGCCCAAACTCCTGAAAGTAAAAATAACTCCTTATAACATCACCTTAAACAGCTATATAAACTCGGGATCGAAAGTCTCCTTCTTATGAAGTAGTTCTACTTCTAAAGATAATCATTGTTTACATTTTTGTACATATCACTCCTAAATTTTGCCTCTACTTTTGGAATAATTATAAATCTATTTCTCTATCTATCAATATAAATCTATCAGCATATTAAGGGAATTTGGTCAGTAATTTGCATTTTTCATATTTAACGGTATGTTAAGTACAATTTTCCCAGGCTGATATATATAGTTTGACATTACTACTTTCTTGCTAAGATATTTTAAAGCAGATTCAACGTCATTTCACTCTTATAAATTTTATTATGCATCTCTCAAAAGAAGGAGAGGTATTTATCTTAGCTAGCCTTATGACCATTAATTATTACACCTTCAAAATTAACAATTATTACTTGATATTGTCTAACACTCAGTCCATAGTCAAATCTTCCCAATTACACTATCTCCCAATTCCAGTACAGCCTTTTTATATCATCCAAACAAATTTTGCATATCACCATTAATTGTTATGTCTGATAGATCTCTTCACTATGGAGCAGTCCACCATTCCTTTTCTTCTTTCTGTTTGACATCACTGAGTTGTTAAAAAAGTAGATCACTGGGGCCGGCCCAGTGCTATAGTGGTTGGGTTCAACACATTCTGCTTTGGTGGCCTGGGTTTGTGAGTTTGGATCCTGGGTGTGGACCTACACTGCTTGTCAAGCCAGGTGGTGGTGGCAACCCACATACAAAATACAGGCAGAT